GGCGGTGACACAGATCCTGGTCCAAGGAGCTGGGCTGTGGCTTGAAGGAGCCCAGATGTAGGAAGAGTTAGTTGGCTAAGCAACCTAAAGCTTAGCGGACCAGGTTGCTCAAAGCCCCATCCAACCTGGCCATGAACACTTCCAGGGATGGGGCATCCACAACTTCTCCGGGCAACCTGTGCCACGGCCTCACCACCCTCACCACAAAGAAATTCTTCCTAATATCTAATCTAAATCTTCCCTCTTCCAGTTTGAAACCATTGCCCCTTGTCCTATCATTACATGCCCTTGTAAAAAGTCGCTCCCCAGCTTTCTTGTAGACCTCTATATGCATCAACCCCAATATATTCACCTGTATATGCACCAACCCAAATAAAATCTTAGTCAAATAGTCATCCAGTTCAAGCCATTGTAGCTGCACTGCAGTAAAGAATTCTATTGGGCATAATAGGCAAGGTTTTGGTTGGAGGGGGGAGAAGGGCTACCAGGGTCACCTCTGAGGAAGATCATGAAGTTCCCAGTGCTGGTGATGGCTGGTTCCAGACAGCTCACCTCCTTTGAACAAGAGTTTGTGGCACTTCTATGACAATGTATTTAGGAAAGAGAAGTAAACACCTAGAAAAAGGAACAGCAAGCTCGCAGCACTAGGAGGTGCCCCATGGAAGAGCAGATGAACCCCAAAGGGACTGTGGCCTATGAATAAGACCATGTCAGAAAAGGTACTTCCACAAAGGGACTGTGTACCATAGAGGACCCATTCTGAAGCAAGAGAAACAAGCACAAAGAAGAAGCAGAAGAAAACTTTAAGGACTAAGGAGTGGATGAAAGAAACGGCTGTGCACTGAACATAACCTCCCACACTGCTGCCCCTGCATTGAAGGAAGGAACTGTAAACTGTGATGATAATGAGGGGAGTGAAGACTAGACAGAGGGAGGAGAGATGTCAGTGACTTCACATGCACCCACACAAGCCAGAGGCCTGCTAATGGCCTATCAGCTGCTCAGCAAGAAGTGACCAGCAGTCACCTTGGAGGGGGACCCGTGAGGACAAATGGTCACCTCATAGGACTGCATGGACAAAAGCAGGGAGCCCCTTCCCTCATCGGCCACCCCATGGCTGTGCTTTGCCATCCCACCAACCAAACACTCTCCTCTGACCCCAGCACTGGTGGCCCTGCCGGGAGGGATGTGGACATTCTGGTGGGATGGCCGGACATCCCCTGGGTGATGCCAAGGTGAGCTGCTGGGGAAGTTGGTGCCACTTCTGCGCCTGCCAGGCCACCACAGCATCCCTATTTCTCTGTTGGACAGCTACATGGAAGGGAAGGGATTTAGTGTCCTTGTCTCCCCATGTCTGACTCAGTGTCATGGGGTGCTAGAGCTCAGCCCACAGCAGCCCCATGTGGGCCTTCCCCATGTCCCCACCACAGATGGGGACACCCCAGATTGGAACATGCACCAGGGACACCTGGTCCCAGTTGTGATTGGAGGGGCCACATGGTGCCCAGCCACATTGCAGAGGGAACACCTCAGCCCTGGTTGTGTTTGGAGGTTACCAGGGCACGCCCCACCTCAAACTTCCCTTCAGCTGTGGTTTTGGTTCTGCCTTCACCCCCAACGCAGGCACCCCCAGGAAAGGGGAAGAGAAACTGCAGGGTGAGGGGAGGTTCTGGAGGACAACCAGGGAGGAGCAGTGACTAGGGGACATAGTGGGGATGAGGCCAGCTCTGGTTACACCATTGTCCCTCCAGCACTGGACACTGGGGACAATGGGGACAGAGCAGGGGGGTGGCCCCCACCATTCCTGTTCCCATGTCCAGGGGGCCTCTGGGGTGGGGGACAGAGCTCCCCATCAAAGGCAGTGGGAAGGAAAGGGGAGTGCCAGGCTGCAGTCCAGCCCCAGGCCCTCTCCTGGGGGCGTTTACAGAAGAGTTGGAGCTCCCCAGCACTGTGGGGTGCAGGGAATTGGAGAGGCAGCTCCCAGGTCCCATGGCATGGATGGCGCTCCATGGAAATGGGGAGGTGGCTCATCCACCACAGCACCCTGGAATGGGTCTCAGGGTGGGAGGACTATGGCCCTATCCCCAGCTTGGGGATCCTGCCCGGCCAAGTGCCACCGCCCCAAGGGTCAGATGATGGTCAGTGGGAAACAGTCCCTTCCAGGCCCCACAGCCCGTTTCTCCCCTTGGGGACCACGATATTACAGCTGCTCCAGCCCACCCACTTCCTGTGCCCTGGGAGGAGCTTGTGGAAGAGCTGATTCCTCCAGCCCTGCTTGCACCCATTCCTGACCCCGCAGCTGTCGGCTAGGCTGGAACAGCTCATCACCTCCTCCTCAGGGAGCCCCTTCCCCAGGATCAGGGCAGTGGCAAGGAGTCAGGGGATATCACAAGCTCTCCTCACTCTTGCCCCCCAGTGCTGTCCATGGCCATTGTCTTCACCTTCACACCTGGCTCAGCTCTGCTCCTGCTGGTTTGCCCCATCACCAGCTTCTATCCATGGCCCATCAGTGTGGCCTTGCTGTGGGATGGCCAGGAGGTGACAAAGAGGCATGAGGTGAGCGCACAGCTGGGCATGGGGAGCCCAGGTGTGCAGCCAGGCTGTGGGAACGAGCTTTGCCTCCCCTGACAAAAAGACAGCCACATCATGGCAAACCTGCTCAGTTAAGTAGGCAGCACAGAGCAGATAGAGGTGTTTGTGCTACGTAGGGCCAGACATGCTGGGCATGAGTGGCAGCGAGGGACATTCCTGTCAGGGACAGTAGATGCAGCCCATGGCCAGATGGCACCTCCACCTGTAATGGGGTTTGAAAAGAGGAGTCGGGTCACTTGCACTGCCCTGATTGCCCAGGTGCTGCTGCAGCTATGAGGAACTCCTCCTGTAGCCAGTGGGATGGCCCTGCTCCCACCCAAATTCCCTCAGAACTGACAGCCATACTCGGGATGCCCCAGACCAGCCCACCACAAGTAGGAACCTGAGGCCCTCCCTGAAACCTCAGTGCCAACCTCATTGGCTGCCAGGGCCACTAGCACCAGCACAGCTGCCCGGTCAGAGCCACCCTGAGAAGTGTGCAGCCACATCTCACATCTCTCACAGCCCCTTCTTCCTGCTGCTGCACCCACTACTGCACACTCCGGGTCTGGCTGCTGGCACCATGCAGCCTCCTCACTGCTGCCTCCTCCTCCTTCTCCTCTACCTCCTCCTCCTCTCTGGGACACGTGCAGACCTGGAGGGTAAGTGGGAGCCCTGGTTTATCCATACCTGCTCCCATGCCCCCATGGGATCCCACAGGGGAGGGCTTCCTGCTCCCCACCTGCCTTGGACACTTGCCTCCTCACCCTTCCTTGTCCCCTGACTCCACATCTCCTCCCTGGCAGTGATGCAGCCACCCCAGGTGGGTGCAAGGGGTGGGAGCTGGGACTGTCAAGGATGCAGGGGGATTATGGAGTGCCCACAGGTCTCTGCAACCTCGAGGACCTGTCCCTCAGCTCCTACACTTTCCCCAGCCCTCTCCTCCCACTCCCATCTCCTCATCGATCCCTGTCTCGCCTAGGGACCTTCACTATCCGGCTGCTCCAGACCTCCATCTTCCAAAACACCTCCTTCATTGACACAGAGGGGCTGGGCCTGCTGGAAGACATCGAGCTCGGTTCTCTTGCTAAGCACACCTGGACAATCTGCTTCTACCAGTCCTGGGTTCGCCCAGCCCTGCCCCGCAGTGACTGGGACACCATTGACAACATGATCAAGATTTATTTGCAGAAGTTCAACCACCTGATCAATGAAGGTGCCATGCAGAAGGAAGTGCCCTGTGAGTACCTGGTCTTCTCTGTGTCCCCTCTCTGAACCGCATCTGGGAAGCGGAGAAGGACCTGGCAGTGCTGGCTTTGCACAGGAGATGCTGACCATGTCCGCAGGAAGGCAGTCCTAGCCCTTCATGTAACCTCTCCCTCCTCTCTGCCCCTCCAGACCCCTTCGTGGCCCAATGCATGGCAGGCTGCAAGCTCTACCCCAACAGGACCTCTCAGGGCTTTGCCTATGTGGGCTACAATGGCCAGGACTTCCTCAGCCTCAATGTGGATGATGCCTCCTGGCTCCCCTCCCAAGACACCAGCCTGTCATGGTATGTCCAGGACATTCTCCAGACCTACACCGCCTTCAGCGAGCTGGTGGAAGTCCTCTTCAATGATATCTGCATTGACGACATGGAGGTGTTACTGCACTACGGGAAGGCAGTTCTGGAGAGACAGGGTGAGACCACCCTGACCCTGGCACGGTCACACAGTGGGGCCAAGCGGTGCCCCACCAGGGCTCCCTCCACCCCTTGGCTCTCGCCCCTCAGAGCTGCCCGTGGCCACGGTCTTCGCCCGCAAACCCAGCCCAGCTCAGCTCCCGCTGGTTTGCCGTGTCACCGGCTTCTACCTACGGCCCATCAGCGTGGCCTGGCTGCGGGATGGCCAGGAGGTGCCACCAGGCCCGGCACTCAACACCAGCGCCATCCTGCCCAACGCTGACCTCACCTACCAGCTCCGCA